AGGCAGGGGCCGCAAAAACAAGAAGAAGGAGCAATACATCTTTTCTTTAAAACTTTCGGTTTTACGGCAGTTACGTAGCCCAACCACAAAGGGCCGCTAACTGTTCAGTAACGGTTGGTAGTTGCTAAGCTATTACGGTTAGAGAAGCCATGGGGACTGCCTGGGTGGATTGCCGTCGTAAAATTTCCAACGATTCCGCAGGCCCCCATAAGGCGCCGCTGACCCGCTTCCGGCGTCGCTGCCGCTGCCGCTGGGTCACCGCCGTTACCATTCACGGCCCAGTCCACGTCTGTATCGGACGTGCTAAGCTCCATCGCAGCCTCCAATCCACCCATCACATCATCGATGTCCCCGCCGCCGCTGCCGTCCCCGTCGCCGCTGTCGGCTGATAGGATTCCATCCATGCCCGCCACGTCATGCGCGATGCCAAACGTTATCGCATCCAGCAATTGCAGTACGAGTGCAAATTCGTACAGCTGCTCGTCCAACCGTCCCGCGGCACGTACTGCCTCCATAACCTCCGCCGAAAATTCGTCGACGGGGCGCCATATCGTCGGCCGTACATGCATGTGCCGTAAGTCGTACTGCCAGCCAAGTCCCAGCCCAAAGATGTCCCTGGTGAGTTCGGAGGTTTCGGGGGCCAAACTGAGCAACACTTCAAACTGCAGCGTCACAATCTTGGCGCCCAGCAGGTGCGTGTGGTTGACATCACCCCAAGGCATGTTATACACCTGACCGCCTAGCAACGACCGTACGACGTAATTGTCGAACACAGGTACGGCAAGTGTACGCCACTGGTCGACGGAGTTTGGGTTGAAGGCCTGCCACAGTGACTGATTGTAATAGATGACGTACTCCTTGAGGATGTTCTGGTTGGGGGGGAGGGTATGTGGGGGGCAGTGATTTTTTTTCATTTAGGGCGGGTCTCAATTTATTCCGACCTAAGTAACAAAGTTGCTAGAATCGCCGTAATTTATTCCGTAAGTGTGGGNGCGCTGGAGGG